ACTTCAGAGGTAGATATAGCTCAGAAGCACTTCATGCCTTTAAGTTCAACCTGATTTAACTCTTAATTCTGACACATCTGCCAACAGAAAAGTAGCATTATTTTCAACAGCTACAAGCTACAGAGGTGGCAGTTACCAATACCCCCACCAAAAAGGAAGAAAACCGAAGCTGAGATGAGATTAGAGTGATGATCACCTAAGATTTAGGGAGAAGCAAGGTATACTATTTCCCTTTTCCTGGGTTCACTAGAATGAAGGTCACTACAACATCAAGACCAAAAGGGACCAAGATTTCAAAAAAGAGGAAGAGGTATCCCTGCTGTGCCTGGCCCACTTCATTATCATTGAGTCACTGTCTTTAAAACCATTTACGGAACACCTGTTAAGCAGTATGCATTGTGCTAGACAATGAACACATAATAGTGAACAAGCCAAAAATCACACACTGTCAATATTGCTGCAAAGACTTGTGCAGCATCAATTTCCCCTCTCCCACTTGGAATCCCCACCTTGCTCCTGAGTCAGTGGCTAAGAAAAGAATTAGGTGCATGGAGAACAGAACAGGAACGGAACAGGTAAATTTTTCATACCTAGGCTGATAAAAACCATACCACGCCCCAAAGAGCTTAAGCTGCAAAGGAGCTTGTGTAGCAAGAGATCAATAGCCAACAGATAAACTGTGGGTATAAAGGACAGTGAAAGGGAAAAAGTAATACCTACCAAGAGAATGGCTCAGGATGGAGGTTGACCAAAGAAAAAAAAGAAAGGAAAACAGAGAATCTGATTCTTCACCAACCATGCCATGGACTGAATTGTGACCCCTCAAAATATTCGGATGTTGAAGTTCTAACTCCTAATGTGATTAATTGGAAGTGAAGCCTTTGGGAGACAATCACGTTTAGGATCAGGTCATGAGGATGGGACATTTGTGATAGGATCAGTGCTCTTATAAGAAGAGAAATCAAACAGCTTGGTTTCTCTTTCTCCCTGTCTTCTGAGGACACAGCAAGAAGGTAGCCATCTGCAAGAGAGAAAAGGGGCCCTCATGAGGGGAAACGGATCAGCTAGCACCTTGATTTTGAATCTCCCAGCTTCTAGTCTCTGAGAAACAAATGTTTGTTATTTATACCACCCAGATATTTTAAAATAGTAGCCCAAGCCCAGTGCTAAGACAAAGCAAGAGCACTGATTGAAACCGTTCTCCTTAAAAAATACACTTTTTGTATTTCTTTATAGGAACCATTTGCTAACTATTACCTGGACCAGTTGTGTATTACTGTTGGCACACAGCTTCTTAGGCCTCTGAGTTCCTTCCCTCCACAGTGAAGCTGCTCCTGGTACAAACTCCTGCCCCTTAGCCAGTCCAGACTCCTATATGCCCAGTAGATCTGTGGGGGACACCAGTGTTTTTCCAAAACTTTTATAGGGTAAGAGCCAATAATGACTTGGAGAAAAGATAGGAGAATTTTTCTCTACAAAGCTATGCCAAATGGACATGACTCGACGTTGCCAATTGGTCTGCAAGACATTTTTTTAAAGGGCTCTGCCTCATAGTTTAATCTGTCATACACAGATTTATGGTCTAAAACAGAATTTTCCAACTGAATCACAACCCATTAATGAGATTTTAAATCATATGAATTCAGCCAATATTTTTAATAAAATAAAACAGCAGGAATAGAAAATATTAGAGTATACTGTTGGCAATAAGAAGCTGTAGTATTTCATGAAATTATTTCATATAATTTTACACACATGCACACACACAAACACATCTCACTATTTACATCTATTGGGTTCCTAAGCAATAATATATATAGCAAGGGATCCTATGTAATTATGCTCCAATTGCCACATAAATGTATTTTTTAAATTGTGAATCAAATTGGATGGGCTTGTTTCTTTAGGTCACCAGCCTAAAGAAACTTTAGTAAGTGAAATGGAAACATTAAAAAAAAAGCTCCAAAATAATTTCACACTCTGCTTTTATCCCAGTTACCTTTCCTTTCATTTGGTTTTTCTAGATTTGTGTGTCAGGAAACACATCTTTACATATACATATATATATATATATATATAATTTTATATATTATATATGTTACATTATATAAATATATATTAATATAAACATTCTTTCAGTCTGGTACAAATGGGTATAAAGGAAAGATAGGACATAGGTTTAAATGCACAAGGGAAAATTCCTACTACAGACCAGGTTTTGCCAATTTTGTCATTCCATGTGCCAAACCACTGGATGAAATAAGAACCAGAAGCAAGGTCTCCTCTCCATTACAAAAACCTTTAAAATGCCAATTTCTCCATTTGATGGCAAAAGACCAACTGCTCTCTGGGATATGGAGCCCTGAACAGAATAATGGCCAAGTCCATATTTTTAAGTAGAATTGAATTGGTTGGTGTATCATAATTTTTTATAAACAGTTTACAAACTTCAAGTAATTCAGTATTTTGAAATGTGATTTTAGAAAAATTATTTTGTCTGACACTTTTAAATAACTCATCCACACACCTCCACTCTGGTGTGAGTGTGTACTTGTGCATCACGGCTGCCTACACCTGCCTTTGCCATCACCATTCATTGGGCTTCAGTTGGGTATAGACTCAGAAATTTAACTCCCCTTGAGCTTCCAAACATATCCCTAGGGTATGTTGGCCAAATGATCTTGAGTCTAATCCTCTTGAACTCAGGAATCACTAGTTGTAACAGAGGAGCCAACAACTCACCAATTATCTAGTGTGGTTTGTTTGCACTCTGGAGCTAACCAAAATAGCACCACACAACACCAGAAGCACGGTTCTCTTAGAATGTTAATGACTAGTATGTACTAATGAATTAAATGTTTTGGCTTTAGTCACCACTTACAGACAGATTTGGCCCAAGATTGAGTAAAGACTTGAAACCAATTAACTGAGCTCAACTTGATCACTAGTGTAGGAAGGAAGAGGACTTATGTCACGTAGTCAATACCAACAATGGTAATTCCGTTGTAGTCTGTGGCTTTATAAATTATTAATAATTACAGCAGTATACCAGTTGGTTTGTGTTTTAGATTTTATTTTGGTGAAAAAATGATCATGAAGTGATATTTCTTGAAGTCTTAACCAAAGTATGTGAGCATACACCTCACCAATACTGCCATCTACAGAGAGCTTACCTAACAATACGCATTACTGATGAAAAAAAGAAAGGAAGTACAATTTCTAGCTTGTTCCTCAAAGTATTTTAATTTGGTGATTTTAAGGTAATCAAAAAAGTAGATAGAGCAAGAATCTTAGCAATAAATAATAGGTTGTATTTGTCACCTAAATTTATTGCAACATTAACACCAAATTTTTTTCTAATCCTTAGGTTTTTCCCCTATGAAGTCTATCATCCCTTATGTGTGTACAATTGGAAAGTTGTTTTTTTTTTCCTACCCACTTTCCCATTTGTCAAATCAAAGGAAAATTTTTAGTTTCTTGATGGCAAAGCTTATTCACAATGACAGGGTTGATGATAACTCAGAACTGGGTAGAGACATCTGGGAAGGCAGTTAGATTTGCTGCTGGGACAGTCCCTGCAACATCAGAGACTTCCTCTACTATATGACAGTTTCTAAAATGCCAAGCAAACACTTTTAAATAGACTATGTCTTTAATCAGAAGTTTATTCTGCACCACCATAGTACACCACACAATTATGATAGGCTTTTTGAACCTTACCAAAACATACATTTCATTATGTCATTTCATCCTACTTACAACAGATCTTCAGATGAACACCGAAAAACTTGATCAAAAATGGATGTCTACATACACATTATTCAATACTCAAATATTTTGAGACATTTTAAAATAGTAACAAATCACTAAACTTTCATTCACACGTTTACCATTTTTATGCAAAACCTGGACTCAATAAGCTTTTAAGAGTAATCTCAAATGGAGAGAGGGAGAGCAGTGACCGTTCCACCCTCCCACAAAGTGCCAACTTTCAGAATCCTGCCCGGTGGTCAAAATGGCTGTTAGCTAAACTATTTCCAGCCAAAAGAGAATGAAAATGAAATTGCAGAGAAGTTACTTGCCAACAGTTGAAATTGCATCTTCAGATTCCCAATAATAAAGAGTCTACATTTAAACTGAATGCTGAAAAGAAGTCTCCTTACCTATGGACAACAGAAAGGAAAGAAGGGAAGAAGAGGAAAAAATAATTTCCAATGGATAAAAATGAGATGATGGACTTAATGGCTACCTGTTTAGATGTTCAGAGGCAGGAAGAGGGAAGCTTCTCCTTCCCTGGGGAGATGGGTTTTTGCATACATAATTTAAATAAATCACTCAGCACATGAAAGAAGTGCAGAAGAACTCTTCTCATTAATTACCAAGGCCTGGACCCTACAGGCTGCTTTCTCTTTAAAGCCACACTACTTCATTATTCTGCCTTTAACTCTCTTAAATGATTCATTCCTGCTCTCACTTCTGAGCACACTCTGCAGGGAAGCTAGTATTTAAGTTTAATTTCTAGTGCCACTTGCTTTGGAGAGGTTGATGAGAGGAAGGAGGATGAATCCAATTTAATGATTTTGTCATGATTGGAGGGGCACCCTACGACCCCACACTCAAAAAACTAACAGAACCCTCTGGCAAGCTATAATCGTGAGCAAAGACACTAACCGGGAAAGGAGAGCCCACGTGCGATGAGAGCTGTCACCCAGGAGAAGTGGCAGCCTGTGGGGAGCAGGAACAGTGGCAGAGTCTGGCTGGTGCTGGCAGCGGCACCGGCCTGGGCGCTCCGGGAAGAGCTTGAGTGGCATCTGAGCAAAGCTAAGCTCTCCCCGAGACACTAAACTAGGCGACGAGAGGCCAGTCCCGCATCTCCGGGAGCTGTCCCTGCTGGGGGGACACCCGGGCTGCACGCTACCCCAGCGTTTCCAGCCCCAGCCCGCGCCTCGGAGCCCGGAGCTCCTCCCGGTCCCGCGCGCCCGGCGCCCCCGCCGCCTTACCGTCCCAGCTCCGACTCCACCTCGAAGAAATCGCTCAGCGCATCCCGGTTGGAGCCGTCGATCCAGTAATCCGGGACCAGGCTGCCAGTCCCCGGGGCCGGGCTGGCGGTGACCGAAGAGCAGGACGAGGAGGAGCAGGAGGGCACGGTGACTTTGAGCATCTTCGCCGCGGGACTCCGGAAGCCGCTGCTGCTGCCGCCGCCGCTGCCTGAGCCTGGAGCCCCGCCGCCCGCCACCGCCTGCAACGCAGGAGCGGGAGAGAGGTGGCGTCCTCGGCTCGCGCGCACGCCCACCGCCTCGGCCCGGCCCGCAGGGAGGAGCGCGGGGATGGGGCGCTCGGCCGCCGCCGGGGTGCAGGGGGAACCCGGAGTCGCCGCCGGCGGGAGGCAGGCGAGGCGAGGCGAGGCGAGGCGCCGCAGCGCGGATTCCGGATTCCTCCCTTCTCCTCCCTTCCCCTCCCCTCCGCGCCTTCCTCCCACTCCCCTCCTCCCTCTCGCAGCCTCTCCAGCCCCCTCCCTCTTCCCTTTCTCCCTCGCAGCCTGGGGCTGCGGCGGTGCCAGCTAGGGCGGCTCCGCTGCTGGAGCGTGGGGAAGGCACAAGGACCAGAGCATCACCCCGCACGCCCTCCCGCTGGAGCCTGGCAGGACACCGCGCGCCCTGGGCTGCGAGCTCCGTTCCGGGAGTGGCGGGCCCCAGGAGAGGGTGAGAAAGGGACCTGGTCATTGTTGGTGCAACTCATCTCTCTGTGAGCGAGCCTCCCGGAGAGTCCCTCCCACCTTGCACCAGATAACCAGCCGTCCCTTCTTCGAACCTGTGTGGAAGCCTATATTGTGGCAGAGGAGGGTGGTCCTGTAGTGGCCAGCACCCCCACCCACCCACCCCCCACACACACCAAGGGCTCCTGGGCTCTGACTCTGGGAAAGCTGGAGGAGAGGGATGGGCGTAGGTCCATGCTGACCTGACTCACCTTTAAGTGAAGTCTTCAGTTGGAATAGATGCTTTTGTCTCTGTTGGTGGCACTGTGGTCTCTGGCACTGCCGGAGCTCCTAAAAGGGCACATACTTGGCTGTGTGTAGTTCGATCTCAGCATCTGCAGGCCAGCAACAGAAGTGGCTCAGAGAAGGGCCCTGGAGAAGCCAACTAGTAGAACCTTCTGCCTTCAGGCAGGACCTGTGGCCATTCATGACAGAGAAGATTGCTACATTTAAAGCTTTTCTTAAGAAATGTATCCCATTGAAGCTTTCTAATATCCATCCATCAACTGTCATTCATTCTAGTATTGGTTGAATATGTATCACTTATTTCTGTCCTTGAACTCTGTTCTTTTCAGATTTCAATGAAGACAAACAGCAATTAGTTATTATATTCTGATATCTCAGGATGTCAAAATATAATAACATGTATAAAAAAGCTATGACATTATGTCTCATTTTGAGCTAAATAAACATAGTCCCTTTAATCTCACTTCATAGATATTACTTCTAGTCTTTTTTTTCTGACTTTGTCCGACATGTAGTAAATCCATGTAGTTCAATATTTTCCTCTAATTTTTTTATTTATTTTTATGATTAATTTTTGGTGCTATATTGGGGACATAATAACAACCAAAAATAGTCAATCAACTTGTGATATGCATGTTAGCCTTAGTTGATTGGAAATGAAAAATTAATACAGAAACTTCCTCACAGGAAATTTTGAGGGTGAGCACATGCTCAATTTAGAAATGCTTTTAAAATAGCAAGTACTGTAGATTCATACAAATTCCATTATATACTAGATTATTTGATGAGAGACTGGAAATGTTTCATGACATTACTTTTCAGGGAATGAATTCACTAAACATCATGCTTAAAAATCAAACTCATCAGCAAAGCAAGATGATGAAGCTCTCTAAAGCAAATCCTGATTCTCGCTAGGTAAGTTTCTCGTGGCTCGCACTGACTAGTGGAAAGATGGGCATAAAGTAGTTAGACTATTTTTATTCACACCTCTTTGAGGCAAGTCCAGAAGTGGCAGCACTGGGTATAAACACCTGTCTGTTGCAAGCAATTCTTTCATAATGTAAGTCCAAAGTAAGAATATTACATTGGAGATGGGTAAGCCTTTTCCCCCAGCTATTTTAGAGAACAGTGGCCTTTAAATGGTATAAAGCTGATTATTGAAGTGATATGTACATTCAGCGTAGTAGGTTTAGTTATTCAACACCTATTCTTTTCCTAAGTAATTTTAATGAAAATGGCAACTAATTGAGGCTTAAAAGAAAGTAAGTCATATGACCTTATTTTCAATTTCACTTTCTATGGCTTTAATTACCTACAGGAAACTGGGGTCTGAAAATATTAAGCAGGAGATTCCAGAAATAAAAAATTCGTAATTTTAAGTTTCCCACTGTTCTAATTGGTAGGATGAGCTCTTGCAGTGTCCCACTCTGTCCCAAGAAAGATGTGAGTCATTCTTTTGACTAGTATATGCTACCACCCATTAGTCACTTAGTGGGCATCTCAGATCAACTGTATGTGTATATGGGAAAAAAAACAGTATATTCAGGGATCAGTAATCCCTATGGCTTCTGGCATCTTCATATTCTTCTCCTCTATGAATGGGGAGGAAGGAGACTCTACTATATTTTGCTTAATCCATGCAATTTACTTTTTATTTAAAATAGGTAAATACAAATTAATAAATATCATTTCTGAGAGAGAGAACATGGATTAAATACATGACATTTATCATTACTCATAACACAAAAACTCAGCTAAAATGACCAGAAAAGGAGCAGAAACTTAAAATCATTAAAAGAGAGAAGTAGTGTTAACAAAATCTTGAACATGTGGACAAATGGTGATTGACTTAGAAGACTGGAAAGACCTGAAACCTAGATTTGCAATAGGAAAAGCCAATAAGAAAAAAATCTAATTTTTGTCACAGAATCAAGAAATGCTCTGGAGTTAGAGTACCAGATAGTTTTAAAGGTGGGCAGAGGGCAGACAACGAGACACTGGTTGCAAATTTTTACAAGAAACTCTTAAAAGCTGGGCACCAGTTGCTCACACCTGTTATTCTAGCTACCTGAGAGGCTGAGAGCTGGAGGATTGACCTTCTAGGCCAAGCCAGGCAAATAGTTCATGAGACCCCTTCTCCAAAACAACCAGAGAAAAATGGACTGGAGGTGTGGCTCAAGTGGTAGAGCACCTGCTTTGCAAGTGTGAAGCCCTGAGTTCAGACATCAGTCCCACCAAAAAACAAAACAACAACAAAAAGAAGCTCTTTAGGCTCCCAGATAACTCTCCTACCCCATCACAGTACAAACACACTTCTACCAAACCCTAGAAGATAATGGATTAAATACTGAACAAGAGATAAAATTTGTTTTAGGTTAGAAGACACAACTGAGGTCATATTCAAAACAGAAATTAAGTGGATCTTTACAAAATAAGCAGTGAGACTCTCAGACCAAAGGCTTCCAGGATGCTGACTAATAGGCTTATATCTATCCTGCCCACATCTACACAGAAACTAGAAGATTTTATCAGAAAACTAAACAACCTAAGGTCATAGAGGTCTGTGGATACCAACAGTTGGGATACCCCCAAAAAAATCCTGATTTCTGTTTCATGTGATGCTGGACAGCAAACCCAGGGCCTGTGCATGTTAGACAACTGCTGTACCACTGAGCCACATTCCTGCCCTTCTGATTTCTATAAATCCCTGTGGCATGAAACCCATCATTAAATGGACTCTCCAACTCAAAGTTTCTAGAGAGCTATGTCACATCTCACTCATGTAAATGGGCAAGTTTCCATTCAGTAGTGGCAGAGTAGATGGTATGAATAAGTCTCCTTTATTATAATTTAATTCCTGGACTAAGTATACAAATGGTGTTTTAAATGTACAGAATAACAACCCAAATCAGAAAACTTGTTGATGCAACCCAAGGAAGAAAGACATTCTTCTGCATGAGGGATACTCATTCAGCTTTTGCTCCAAGGGCACTCTGCAGCCAGTACACAACAACTATAAATCAAGCAGAAAACTTCAGTCTCATTAACTTGAGGTGTTAGAAGCTCAAAGATATTAGAAATTGAGAAGGAAATTCCAGAAAGAAGGAAATACAGTGGAGAAATCCAAAATCTATATGCAATCTATGCTTTACTAATTGGCAATTCTCTGATTTATGGAAGTGTGTATTAGGCTCCAATAAAACTGGAAAAAAAGGATAATCAGTAACTGGAAGGCTAAAACTGCTAAGAAAAAAATGTTGACTGTTGCCCCTTACAGGGATACATGGTTGAAAGTAGTCCCACAAAGTTAAAATGTGTGTTTGGGGGTGGGGGCCAGGGGACAGGGAGGGAATTTTTAAAAAAGAAAAAATGCTGTAAGAAAAAGTTAAGAGAATACATAATTTTAAAAATGATTAGACATGTGCAGGGACAGGAAAATCTGGATCAATCAGCCAGGAACAGTAGCTCATTCCTGTGATCTTAGCTACTTGGGAGGCTAAGATTGGATCCAGGCCAACCCAGGTCAAAAGTTTGTGAGACCCCATCTCAACAGAAAAAAGCTGTGTATGGTGGTACACAGCTACCATCACAGCAACTGTAGGAATCCTAAATTGGAGGATCACAGTCCGGGCCAGCCTGGGCAAAAAATGAGACTCCCATGTCCAAAATAGCAGAGCAAAAAATGGCTAGAGGCGTGGCTCAAACAATAGAGCTCTAGCCACACTAGTGCTAAGCCCTGAGTTCAAACCACAGTACTGGAGAAAGAGAGAGAAGAATCAATTAAAAACCAATTTCAAGATGATTCATAGGTTATACTCATATAAAAAGGACTTATAATAGCTATTATAAACTGAGAAAGGTAATCAGAATGAGTAAATAAATGTGTATTCGTACCAGAGAAATGGAAAATGTACAAAAGTAAAAAAATACAAATTTGAGAACCGAAAAAGAAAAATATGTGAATTAAAAAACATACACACTCAAAGGGCTCAAAAAAGAGTGCAGTTTGCAGGAGAAAGGGTGAAAGAACTTAGAAATAGAGGATTCAGCCTCAAAGACAGAGTCCAGGGGTCTTCACCTCCACATATCCATGTCTTTCTGGGTCCTCCCCCCCCGCCCCGCCATGATGTCACTGGCATATGAGACAAATGAAATGCGGTGGAAATAAAAGCATAGCTAATTCTGTCTTTTTCTCATGAGTTGATCATTTTGAGGAAGGCCAGCTTCCATGACAGGAGGACATTCAAGCAGC